CCGTTTCTTTAGGAGAAGAGAGCATTGACGAAGGTGAGTGAAATTAAATGGCATCTCTGTGTTGCTGACATGCTACAGGGAGGCCTTTGCACTGCATCGCTCGACCGCTTCCTCAGCTCGGTGTGAGACAGACTCCGACTCTACCCGTGTACACTTTCTGACGAAGAGTAAGTAAATCAATTTCACTTGACTTCTTTTTACAGTTTGGGGAAATCTGTGTCGAGGCTGCCTTTTTGTCAGGTGACACCCTGGTTATTGCGATCAGAACACATTTAAATGGCTCTTGAGGATCGTTGAAACAGGCCGGGGAACTTTAATTTGGTTCATAAATTTATTCCATCTTTTTTTGTGTGTTAATGTGGTGGGTCTGTGTGGAAGAGTAACCCCTCAAAACAGGACCGAACGGTGGGGAGTCAAGGTAGTGGATAACTTTCTAAGGTTTCTTGTAAATAAATCATATTTAACAAAAACAAGAAAAAAACCGCGCTGGTCAGGAGCAACGAGACTCGAAATATAACAATATAAAAGTAAAATTACAACAATCCAGCTGCGAGTAGACCGAGTGCGCACAAATAGTAAAAACACTAAAAGTCAAAGAAAGTCCGTTTAAAATACCAACAGCCGCACGTCCTCTTCAATCCTCCACGTCGGTGCCGAAATAATAAAAAGGAGAACCGCATCAGTCCGTTATCTTATAAATCCAACCCTCACTCACCTCCAGAAAGTCTTTGATTACTCCTGTAAACAAATAAAATATTCAGAAACTGTATGATTCAGTGAAAGTTGATAAGTAGACAATTATCCCAGACTATTATCCTCGGTGACTGCACCTAGCACGAGGAAGTAAGATTTTAGTTTCAAACTTTATATAAAGTTTATAACTAAACTAACTTATAGCTTTTCAAAGCCATTTAAAAAAATCGATCAATCAATATTAACCCCTTTGCGGTATTTTCCCCTGCCGTAGTACTCACACACACTGGGTGTGTCTCAGGACGGGGCCTTCTTCTAGCTCAGGAAGAGCTAGCAGCTCCCGGAGACGGTACAAAGTTTTACTCCGAGAAAAGGCGACCTGAGCTGAATTTTTAACCTTTTTAAACTTTAAATATTAGTTTTAAATTTGGACAAATCTGTCAACACAATCGTTATGATCATGTTTTGAAAA